AGGCTCCTTGCGTAGGGGGTGCTGCGGAGAGCTCCCTGCTAGAGGACGAGGAGGGTGCGCTCATCGGCCCCCTCAACTTCCTCGGTCTCCTTCGTCCACCGATCTATGAAAGACCGGAGTGACTCGTCGTGTTGCTGCTTGACCGAGAGGAGATGGGTGAAGTACTTCTTCGCACGCTTCCTCCCGGCAAAGTGGGTGAGGAAGCGTTGGGCAAGGTCCTGCCATGAGTCTATACCTCCTTCGGGAAGCGCATTGAACCACTCGTACACTGACCCCTCAAGAGTGGAGAGGAACCAACGGCAGAGGTATTCATCTGACTCGTTTACCATCAACATTTTGTTCTGGTAGCGGCTGAAGTGTTCCTGGGGATCGGAGCGGCTATCGTAGGACTTGATGGCGTTTCCCTTGTACTTCTCCGGGATGGGAGCCGAGAGCACCCTCTTAGTGAAGGGAGTCCTGGTCCTGACTTGGATGACAGGGTCACCTCGTCCCTTAGCCAATTCCCTCTCAAGGGCGCTGACCTTGTTCATGAGTGCATTGAGGCCGGGGTCATTGGAGGCGCCGGCCGTGGGAATGTTCGCCGATTGTCTGGCCTCCATCTGAGCCAGTCTCCTTTCCAGCTGGGCGATAACCTCGTTCCGAGGGTCCTTGGCAGCCGTAGTGGTGCCATGTTGGTTTCGCATGTGGACCTCGTGGGCCGTGTTGATCTGGTGGTGCGCGTCGTCCTCATGCAGCTTTCCCTTACCTTTGTTCAGGCGGGGCTGGTCCGCTGTCCAGGACACAGACCCCAGGCTTTCCCTTGGCGAGCTAGGCCGGCGTTCACCAATCCGTCCCACCATCCTCTCTGATACCGGACGACGGCACATGTCACCCAGCCTATTGAAGGCAGAGGCTTTTCCACGCGTTGGGGTCGGTCTGGGCCGAAGAGGGGAGGCAGGGTGGGAGTGGGATGACGCCGTGTCCTGGGCTATCACCCCCTCATCGTTGCCTAGCTTGATGGCCAACGGTTGGGGCTGAGGAGGCGGAGTGAAGTTCTCCCCAATCCTTGGCATGAGTGCGTTGAGGACGGTGGGGTTCTGAGCCAGGCTGGCGATGATGACCGATAGTGCGGCCTGAACCTGTGGGTCAACAGACGGAGAAGCCATGGCCAACGGTTGGGCCGTGGCATTGTCTGCCTTCTCTACGCGCTTCTTATCCGGGCCGATGCGGGCATCAGGGGCGCCGCCGTTGAGCTGGTTGCGTAGATCCGTCGTGAGGTTGATGGCCTCCTGGAAGACATCCCCTCCTCCGACCTGGTCGGCTGTGGCGTCCTCCTCACGCTCCCTGTTCTCATGATCCTGAGGGATGGCCTTGCTGACGAGGTTGCGGTTTGACCTAGTTCTTCCCATGATCAGTGGTTAGCTGTGCTTGGTAGCGACGAAGGGTGCTAACTTGATTGTTCTAGCTCTCAACGAGAGCACCAAATGGCAGATTATATTCTAGAGAGAATTGAGAGCTAGAGAGAGAAGTGCAAGTAAATGCTTCAATAAATGATTTTCCAACCCCTACAACTACCTCCAGAGGAAGTATTTATAGGAAAAATACAGGCTGGGCTCCCAAACCTTGGGCTTGGGAGGCCCATTTACAACTGGACCGCTATTGGGCCGAATACAAAGTAAATGATGGAGTATACAAATGAGTGAGTGTAAAATCCGGTTCAGGGAGTTCTTTATGGCCGATGAGGGTCTGACCGATGAGGGCATGGCCGACGAAGACCTGGCCGACGAGGTCACCCGGTTCTTCTGGCTTCCGGATCATGTTCTGGGTTGACTTCCTTCCGGCCGATGAGGGTCATCTGGCCGATGAGGGTCCTATTGGGTGACAGTTGTGCCTTCTGTTCTCCTGAGTATGTGGGTCCTGAGGCCTAGACCCATATACTCCATCAATTTCTTTTAGTATTATATTAATCAAAATCATAGTTCAAATTTTTGAACGAAAGTGACTTAAATTACGATAACAAAACATAAGTAGGTTACAAAATGACAACAAATATTTTGTTTGTCGTTTGCCCTAGAACCAGTCGTAGAATCAATCGTAGAAACAATATGATTCACTGACCCTGCATTGAGCTTAAGTGAGCCAATTAAAAGGCAAACTAGACTCATCACATGTCCTGGGTTCAAGAGCTTTTCTGTCAAAAAAATACGGCACAACCAAAACAGAGTAATGATCCAAATAAAAACGAAACATGAAGAAATATAAATAAGCAAAATAAAATTCTTGAACCCTAGCACCTCGTTCAATTCCCGGCGGTGGTTCAGGAGGAGGCCGGACCAACGGGACCATCGCTATGATTGTTGACGCGGAATGGATCGAAGCATAAACCAATCGGGGTAGATTCCTCTTGCCTTGTCTCCCATTCGTCGTGCCCACTGCCCAGCCATCTCCGTCGGGGCATCTACCCTTCTCGATCAATCCTTCTCTAACGTCAAGCGACCCAATTAAAATTTCCATCTGTCCACCAGTTACTTGCACTGAATCTGTCTCGTCGCCATCTTGCTACGATCCTTCTGCCATCCAAAGGCGCTACACTTCGATCAAAAGAAAAGGCGCACACAATCGGCAGAAAGAAACCCTAGTTTAGGGAAAGACCATGTTGTTAATGTTTTCAAATTCCAATGTTTCATAGTTCAAATTTTATGAAACAACAACAATTTTTGGACGGAGTTATTATTTTATTCTTTAAATACTCCGTAAGGATTAGTTGATAGTTACTGCATCTTGAAATTATAATACGAGTATCATATTCTTTAAATAAGTGTGACGGGGTAGTTGATAATTACTGCATCTTGAAATTGTAATACTCCCGTATGTAGTACTACCTTCATCTCAAAAAATTTGTTACCTTTTAAATTTTGACCAACAATATATTTTTATTGGAAAATGTTTTTAATATAAAAATAATATGAAAATTTTCATTGTTAAAAGTACTTTCATAAAACTATAAAATATATAAAGTTGACATCCTAATTAAGCGAACAAAACGAACTGTTTGACCAAGAAAAGTTAAATTTGCAAATCAATTTGGGAGGGAGGTATTATGCAATACGGGAATAATTATATTAATAAAAACAAGAGAAATTTACCTAAATAGGACTAAAACTTATGAAAAAATCCACCGTAGGACTATCACTTTTCTGTTTAACACCATAGGACTAAAATATAGATGGAATACCAAAACTGCCCTACAAAGCCACCTTTCTTCCGTTCGCGACTTATGAAGGTTGCGCTGAAGGATGTCTCTGCATCACCTCTGCAACTTCCCCAGATAAGTTTCTTCTTCTTCTTCTTTAATGCTTTCTATATTTTCTTTCTTCCACTTTTACTCTTTTCTTCTCTTTTGGATATTCATTTTTTTATAAATTCCATCTAATTCACTTTAAATCGTTCATACTATTTTTCTCACCAATTGGACCTGAAAATGGCATAATTGCTATGTTATTCAACACCGATTTGGAAAAAATGTCACTGTCTTGACATTACATTTACCAGGATGACAGTTTTTATTTGACATTTCTAAAGAGTAAAAATGACACCAACTTGACATTCTCCACGACTGTCATGTTTTTATATATGGAAATGTCATCTCCATGACATTTTGAGAACAAAGATGACATTTTTTACAAAACAGAGTAAGAAGAAGAAGAAATCAGACGAGGAAGAGGAATCTGGGAGGTAATGTTCGAATGTGAAGAGGATGAGAGAAAAGGAAAGAGAGGCAGAGAACATAAGGGGAGTAGCAGAACAATCTGGAGTTCTGGACTGGACGTCGTAGAGAAGGATCAATTGTTGAGGTGCAGGAAAAGATGATCGCTATTGGAATTGCAGGGGAGATGATTGATTTTAGGTTGCAGGATAAGAGGATTGATGTTGGAGTTGCAGGAGAAGAGCATGGCGCAGAAGAAGATGGAGATCGTCGCTGGAGGCGGAGAAAAGGATACACACAGGGACATTTTAGACTTTGTGGAAAACGTAAAAACTGATAATGGGAGCGGATGACTCCTATATGAAGGATAAAACATATTAAGTCCTAATTTGAGTTTTTATCTATGTTTTAGTCTTATTTAGGACAATTACTTTAAAAACAATTCAAGGAGCACATGTGTCATGATCGAACACATATAGTGTCAACCACGAACAGTCGAACACAAACAACGTACATTCGATTTAAAGTAGTGGGAACTTATACATATTAGCAAATGTCCATACAAACAGAAGTTGGGGCTAAGTAAATAAATGACCAAAAGCATGTATTACCATTTATTATGTATGCCCTAATTTTTATATCCAGGCAAAAAGTAACTCGTGCGAAGCTGTGATCACATTTAGCTTAGATTAGGTTCCAGTATTTAATTTTATTACTCCATGGACATGTAAAAGTAACAACACATCTGCTAAAATCAAGATTAGGAGGTTGTCAATTGATCGTTTTGACTTATCTGATTCTTTTTTATAAGTATACGTATTTATATGACACTTTATTGAGTACATAACCTTATATGACGATTCTGTAATAGTATAAGACCTTATTTGACAATTTTTCTGTTTTTTTTAATGAAAAAATGGGTTGTAAAAGTAAAAGTGATATATGTTGCAAGTAAATAAATACAAAGAGTGTGTATGTATTCTCTTACTATAATTTGAAGATTTTATTTATTTATTCCTAAGTACATTGAAATAATACAACTTCCTTGAGTCCTTGATCCCATATATAACTCCTCTCTTGAAGTTAGTATAAGAATTGAGAAAGTAGAAATTGTGTGATTAAAAATGAAAAATGAAAGAATGAAGTTTATGTTGCACAATGATTCTCCAATTCACATGAATCACTCTTGTAGAGGAGAGAAATACTGTGGACTAAAGATTCTTTAAATGAAAAAGATGTTTAATTATGTTAGGAGTAGTTTTTAACAAGTGTTTCGAAGTTAAAAGAGAGAATAGTTTTAGTTTGGGACCAATGCAGCAAAGGAGACAGACGTGGTCGATATATGGAACTCTAAAATCCTATCCATCAACAAATATCTGCCCAGAGAAGTAGACAGTACTTTTACTTATCCATACTTTGCTTGGACTTAATAACAACCACAAAGCTAAGATACAATATAATGTACTGCACACCTCTCCCAGCCAACAAACTGGTAACAATAATAAAAGGAAAAGGAAAACAAAAATACTCCCAAATTCTTCTTTGATACCACACAGAACAGGATCACCAAAATACTGATTTGAGAGAGCAAATTAAAGTTTGATGGCCCAAACTATGTTGCTCAGTGCCAGTGCTGGAGCAGCAGCATTGGACCTCAAGACACAATCTTGCAGTTTCCTTCAACCCTTCAGATCAAGGCCTTCATTTCATCAGCATCTTCTTTTGTCTGGACCTCTCACCACCCCCACTCCTTCTTCTGGGAAAGTTTTTAGTCTCTTCAAATCAAAACCCAAAGCCCCACCAGCTAAGACTGCACCCTTTCAAGTTTCCACTCTATTTTTTGGGCTTTTAATGTTTTTTGTTATCAATTTTTCTCTCTCTTCAAGATTTTGGTTGAAAGGGTGGAAGTAATTAGAGACATTACGGTAAAATGAATAATTAATGTATGCAGGTTGTCAAGACCAAACCTAAGGTGGAGGATGGGATTTTTGGTACGTCTGGAGGGATTGGATTCTCCAAGCAAAATGAGCTTTTTGTTGGTCGCGTGGCTATGATCGGTTTTGCGGTTTGTCTCATTCCCCTTAGATTATTTATTCATTTTAACTCATAAGCAAAAATTAGTGTTTGTATAACTATTAAGAGCTAGTTTGGTAGCACCCCAATTTACTTGATTGATGAACATTTGGTTGACTGAATTGATTGAAATACTGAACTATGAAACAAATATTTGCCTACTCTCTCCGTCCAACTGAACTTTGTCAACTTTCATTTTTTATTTGTCCCAAAAAACTTTGACACTTTCCTTTTAAAGCAATGTTTTTGTGGCTCTGTTCATTTATGTCTCTTCTTCACAAATTTCAACCACACAAATTTTACTATCCAAAGTTGGGTGGGACGGAGATAATATATTTTATTAATAAAATAAAGAAAAATTATACTAAAATATAACTAAAATTTCCTCTCGAACCAGTAATGTCTCAAAAATATCTACCTTATCGATAAGAGTGATAAGCTAAAAATAGAGGTTACAAGGCCTATTTTTTTTTTTTGAAAATAAGACCTAAATTATTGTATACTACGATTTTATGTTTGAAACTTTGGCAAGGATCGATTAAAATCTAGAGTCAAGACATGGGAGATTAGGTCAGAGCCTGTTTGGTAACACTAAAATTGGCTGAATTGGCTGATTATGAAGTTCTGACTGAAGTGGCTGTATTGGCTGATTCTGCTTATTCATGAAAAAATTATATTTAAAATATTTATTATTAATAAATAAAATAAAAAATATATGAAAAAATAACTAAAATGATCCTCTATAGACTATAGTAACTTGAGCCAGGCAGAAAAGTAACTTCAATCTTATTATGTGACAATAGTTGCAAAGCTTTGGTGGAAGGCGCCTAATAGTATTGGGAAACCAATACATTTACCAATACATTAATGAAATTTGAATATAGGCAAGGCGGTTTCCCAGATTCTATGTTTTATTAGACCTGTCTAATAATATGTAGATATTATCCCCAGACATGTCTATATTCCATGCCGAGTCAGCTTGATGTTAATAAAACTTTACAAAACTTTAACTTATAGGGGTAGCTTAGGGGACCTGATATCATATAAGGTTTGGGTTTATATTCTAAAAGATTACCTTCATAAGGAGTAGCTCATGATCTCTTGATTTTAATGATTTATAATTTATAAAGGAAATGTTTTAAATAGAAGTAAAAACAAAGCAGTTTCCATAAAGATTACTATGTTTTTTCACAAACAAGAATGATCATTGTTATCTTGATATGATATTGTTGCAGTAATACTACAACAATAATGACCAGTAATGCTAGGGCCCCTATTTCGGAAATAAAACATAGTATTGGGAAACCACCTTACTCGTGTGGAGGTTTTGAAATAAGGCTGGACCTCTGGTGCGCACGTGTATAAGGTCTATCGCCGCTTTGCTGACTGCGTCACCGTGATTAACATCCCCACCATCCTGTCGGGTCGGGGTGGGAGCCTTGGGGTTGGGCATTCAACCTTTTGGACCAAGGGAAACCACCTTACCTATTTTAGGAACTTTCTCTTATTTATAGTGTCAGACAAATGCTCTAATGTGACAATTGTCGAAATATAATTAAAGATGAGAATGATCATAACCTGTAATAATAATAATAATAATGTGTGATAGTGTTCTTGATATATGTCTGCTAGGCATCATTGCTGGGGGAAGCAATAACAGGAAAGGGGATATTGGCACAACTGAACCTGGAAACTGGGATTCCCATATATGAGGCAGAGCCTCTTCTGTTGTTCTTCATACTCTTCAATTTGTTGGGAGCCATTGGAGCTTTGGGAGATAGGGGCAAGTTTGTGGATGATCCTGAACCACCCACAGGACTAGACCGAGCCATTATCCCGCCCGGAAAAGGCTTCAGGGCAGCTCTGGGGCTCAGAGAAGGGGGTAATGTTCATCTCTTTATCTGAATAATGCATCCTTTAATTTCACATGTGGCTGGTATTCTTAACTATGGCAATGAATGATGAATGTTGTAGGTCCTCTCTTTGGATTCACAAAGGCAAACGAGTTGTTTGTTGGGAGATTGGCTCAACTGGGAATTGCATTTTCTATAATCGGAGAGATTATTACCGGGAAAGGGGCACTTGCCCAACTCAACATCGAGACTGGCGTACCCCTTAACGAAATCGAGCCGTTGATCTTGTTTAACGTTGCTTTCTTCTTCTTTGCAGCCATTAATCCCGGCACCGGGAAATTTGTCACTGATGAAGGAGAAGAAGATTAGTACTTCTTCTCTTTTTGACATAATCTTTTGAAAATATAATGTTAGTTCACAGTGAAGGAAGTACAATGTGGATTCCACCCAGCCATTTAGTTTTAAAACTGCTGACACTTATCAGTCTCCTCTTCCTCTATTTTCAGGGAATTGCTGAAAGAACTTCCACAAACCTCTAAAATTATGTTACTTCTTCCTACAAGAAATAATCATTTTCTTTTTCCACGAATTATTTCAACTTAATTATAAGAAAACCCGACATAAGGAGATCATGAAAGAAGAATGGACACACAGAAAGTCCACAGAGCTAGAACATATGTGCTCCATCAGAAAACAAACAAGGCTAATGTTCATATGGTAGGCTAATGTTCATAAGGAGATTCTTTAATGAGACACAACGGTAAAGTGAAAAAATCATCTATCTAATGTGCCATTTGTGCGTGTTTTAGTTTGTTATATCGATGCACATTATCCATTATTTGTGTTATGCTCATTTCCAAAGGTTATAGACTTGTAGTGTTGTACAATGCACATTGTCAAAAATATAAACAATTATTGTAATAATAAAAAATGTAATTATATTAATTTTAGGAAAAATTGATTGTAATAATCCTAACTATTGGCGGTCCGCTCATAATAATCCCAACTATCGATTATTTCAGAATAATTCCAACTTTAGGGACCTTCCGCCAATAATGGTCCCACGTGACCGACTATAAGTAAATTTATATAGTTTCTAAAGAGATATAGCAGGTAATCCCTACAAATAATCCCAAATTTTAATTTGTACGTTTAATTTCTATTAAAAATTCACTTGTTAGAGCAGATAATATGCGGTCATGGACCATTGTTCGCGGACGGTCCATATAGTTGGGATTATACAAAAATAATCAATAGTTGGGATTATTGTTAGCGGGCCGTCAATAGTTGGGGATTGTTGGAAAATGTGTTAAAAATTGCATTAAATGGTCAATTTGGGGCAATATTTTGAGTGGGTCCACTTCCGATTTGGGTCGGGTCAAAGTGGTTTCAGTTTTTTCTTGTTAAGGGCTACAATTCGATATATGGTACACTCAAAACGGATAACGGGTGAATGAGAAATTGATTCTCGAAGTTCACTCGTTGAAATGAAAAAACTGGGAAAAAAGATGAGTTTCTAGTGTGATTTATCCCACACCGAAAAACCCAAGGGATTTTCACCCCCTTATAAAGGGAACCCTCTTTGAAAGAGTTAAGATTCCTACGGGGAAATGCTCGTGTGCGCGGGTGACCTGCGGACACGAATGTCGTTCAAAAATCTATCATTCAAAGTATGGGTGGGCATAACGAAACCGAATTAAACCAAACCGAAACCGAACCATTTGTAATTTGGTTTGAGTTTGGTAGTATTCCTCCCAACCCGTATTAAACCGAACCGAAATCATAAAACCGAATAAAACCGAACTAATCTAAAAATGAAATAATTTCTTATTTTTTAAAAATAACAAATCAAAACCAACTTACACCAAACTAAACCAAACTAAAATATAAGATTTCTCTCATTAATTTGATTGATGTTAATCTTTTTGAAGCTTTAATTCTTTAATTTTAGTGTCGAGGACTAGAGTTTACTACAAGACTTACATTCACAACTATAACAATTATAGTGGTTTAAGTAGATAGTATTTAACTATAATTTATTATCTACTACTACTATATATTTGGTTCATTATTTACAAGCACCAGTTTTGTTTTTGTTTCGACTCTATATATATATATATATATATATATATATATATATATATATATATATATATATATATATATATATATATATATATATTGATTCATTCCCGTTGTTGTTGCTTACAAATGTGTCATGCTTATATATTTTTGGTTCATATGTGTTTTATTACTTTTTGCAAATTTATATCTAACATTATATTTGGTTCATTACTACCGCTTCTTAGTTCATTATTTTGAGTTATTTTTTTTTATTTGAATCCAGACCTTAATACTTTGGTAAACCGAACTCCAAACTGAATCGAACCGTACCAAACCGAACCAAACCGAAACTTAATCGGTTTGTATTTGGTACATTTTCTATCAAACCGATTAAACCGAAACCGAACCAAAACCGAAGAAAACCGAAATGCCCACCCCTAATTCAAAGATACAATTTAATTTTTGTTTCTTCCAGTAACATTTTATTATTCTCAGTTACAGAAATGCTCGGCAGAACTACTCCGGACCAGAAGACCTAAGAGGGTCTCTGTTGGCTTCGGAACCAGAAGACCATGAGTAATGAGTTGGCTTCCGGACAGAACACCATGGAGGTGTTCTGGTCGCGCAGTTATCAACCGTTACGAAAGTTAATGTCCAACGTTCTTATCTTTTAATGCTTCTTTAAATGGACAGTTTTTCGACATATTGATGCCCAACGTGCTGGACATTTATGTGCAACGTTCAGATCCATTAAAGCTCGGTTAACACACCACAAATCCTCCTATAAATAGCTGGCAGGTGCTTTGCAACAAAGACACGTTCTTACACGTTCACAAGCAATTTGCGCGTAGTTTTTAGCTCTAAAAACACTTCCAGCTCCTCCGGAAAATTTCCTTGGTGTTCTACCTTTGTTCCCGTTCGCCGGAACTTTCGTTTGTTAGCCACCGTATCCTGGGAAACGGTCGTTGCAACGCTCCTAGCACCGTGGGAGGCGATGAATACGTTTTAAGGACATCGTGCGTAGCACGAGCTCTGGCTAGTTTCAGTCCCGTCTATTTTCTGTTTTTCTTTAGTCATTTTAATTAATTAATTAATTTTTATTAATTATTATTAATTATTTTCTTTGTTTTTCAAAACACACCCAACATCTTGTTCTATAATCCGTGAGGATGTTGTCGCCTTCGCTAAATTCTTATTCCACAGCTACGGTTGACACCGGCATTTATAGAATTTGCTTTGCCATCTTCGATAAAATCGGGAATATTCCTTCTTTTTCCTTCCACCACTTGAGAACGTCAAGTCATCTCATTTTTCATACTCAACAGGAAACGTTAGATATAAAGAAAGCTCGCTAATCGAGCTTTGTGCAACAACAGGAGTTGATTTATTTTTTATAAGACTACCAAATGTAGATTTGAAAAATGATTTTCCTTTAGGTGAAAAAGCAGTTGGTTTCGGAAAGGGGGTGCGTTAGCATATTGTGTATGAAACTCATTAAATAATTGATGAAATAAATTACTAACCTCGTTGTATTGCTTTTTTGGATCTACGGGCTTCTCTTCGTACATAGGTAATGGACCGCAAAAACAAGTACAATACTTCCTTCGTCCCATTTTTTTTGAACGAAAACTTGCCTCTATTCATATCATAAGTTTCTGGATCATTACACCAATCAAAGGAAAAACAAATCTGACGCCAACTAAACTCCAACAACTACGACTGTAAACCCTATAATCAGACTTAGAGACGGTCACCCCTGAAAGAGCAACACGAATCGCTAACCATGCAGCGGGCTTGACACAACCATCTCTGTTACCATAGATCCAAACATACCCAATGACATAAAAGGAGGCTAAATTCGCAAACAAACTGACAAACCTAACAACATAACCGGTAACAAGAAACCAAATGATAAAATAATAAAAACTAATAGGAGGAGGACGAAACATGAAAAAACTAAATAAACAAAACAAGTATCTTGAACCCTAGCACCTCGTTCATCCCCTGGCGGTGGTTCAGGAGGAGGTCGGACCATCGCTATGATTATTGTTGACACAAACAAGGCACAACTCTTGCCCGTCGCTCGACTGATTCCCTGACACGCAACCTCCATCTGCCCCGCAATTTCAGCCCACTGGACGCCTCCCTTTCTCCCTCCCTTGGCTCCCGCAACTCCTTATCCATTGGCTGCCACAACACGCCTAGCGATATTCTTGCGAAAATTCCTTCTTTGCTAACCTAATCGTCGCTCCAAAGGATGACTAAATCTAAACGCCGCACACAAGATGGCAAAAACTGGAACCTATATTCAAGGGAGACGGCCGCATGTTTTAATTGGCTAATAAGAAAATCTCCCTTCGTGCTTTTTAAATACTCAATTACCCCCACATTTTCTACTTTTTATTTTTCTCTTTCATACTTTTCCACATTCTCTCATACTTTTTCTACACTATTCATTATCCCTACTATTTCATCCTAAAATAGTGTGCCCAAACCTATTGTAGTGAACTTTTAAATACGGAGGGAGTATAAAAATTCATAACTTAGCATCTATAAAGTTAAAACTTATGATGTTTTAACTACTAGTGATTTTCCGGATCAATTTTTGTTCATAAATAGATCCAAATGCTAAAAAAGTGACGTACATAAATAAAAGTAAGGCCTTAGTTAAAAAATGCCGGAGAATATATTAACGGTGCTAGATTACAAGAAAAAAATGAAGTCATTGAATACAAATAAACTAATGAGAAATTTGATTTATTGAATGAATCAGATTGTGGTTAGCCTAACGGTGTCACGTGGGCCTTGTTTGATAATCGACAGTTAGATATTAACTATTAGCTTATTGAATTATGATAGTGATTTGACAATAGCTGACGGTGTTGCTGTTGTTATTGTTGTTGTTATTATTTATTGCTTATAACAATAATTTACCTGAAATTATTTAAGGAGTACAAATCATTCTATCATCATAATCATAATTATCCCAATGCCATAAAGGCTCCCACATACGGTAGGATAAGGGGGGATCGGATGTACGTAGCCTTACTCTTACACTAAAGCATGGAGAGACTGTTTCCGGATGACCCATAGTGGAATTCGCGTCGAAAATTATATGGACTAACTGCTACTTCATAACAAAGAAGCGCAGACAACTTAGTGAGCCATTTTTGCTTTATTCCATCTAGGGTGTAAACGAGCCGAGCCGAGCCCGAACCTACATAGGCTCGAGCTCGAGCTCAAAAATATTTATCATGCTTGAGTTCGGCTCGAGCTCGAACGAGCTCAAATTTTAATGCTCGAGTTCGGCTTGGTTTATTTACCTAGCTCGAAATCGGCTCGAGCTAGCTCGGCTCGAAGTTACAATAATATGCATGAAGCAAAATTTAGGTTCAAGGGAGGTTCGAACCTGGGTTGCAGTGTTAACTACTTAAGGAGAACTCCATTCAACTACAAACTCTGAACTTAAATAATTATTATACCTCACACACACACACACCAAGGCTCACGAGCAGGCTCACGAGCCACGAGCCTAAAATAAATAGGCTTGAATTGGGCTCGTTAAATACTCGAGCCGAGCCGAACTTGAGTCGAGTTTGAATATGACCGAACTCGAGTCGAGTTTTTATCGAGCGAGTCCCGAGCGGCTCGTGAACGACTTGACTCATTTACACTCCTAATTTCATCTTATTTCAAGCCAAAAAATAGCGAGTCTTTAGCTTCATGCAAATGACGGAAAGAAGTACAAATCATTCATATGTTATAAAATTTATAAATTGATAAATGAAAACCATACCAAAACTAAATAAATATGAAGAAAATTTGTATTTTAATTTGAATAACATGAATTTCCCATTACAAAGAAAATTTAACAAAAACAAACGAGTACAAAAAGGTGTCCCATATAATGATTGATATGATTATTTTAATTAATATAATAAGAACCCTGCATAAAATCCGAGCAAATTAAAGTAAGCTTTACATATTTTATAGCTTAATAATTACGAGTAATACGGAGTATACGTTATGGCGCATGGCAAATTCTGTTTTGCGCCAAAGTTGTACTACGTATAAAAAAAATACTCCATGTAGTATCCATTTGCAAAAAAAACTACACAATCTAAAAGTAATTTATGTGTTCAAAAAAATCTAATGCTATTTACAATAATGATTCATTCATTCTACACAACATTTTACACGCTGGTCAAATTGTCTGTACACAGACAATTCGACCAACGTATAAGATGACATGCACACTTTACCGTGTACAAATAGCATTTTCATGTGTATTACTCATGACTCCCTTGAAAGTGCCTTATGTGCGTTCTGAGTGCATAAGTACTTACATGACTATTCTTAAAAAGAATTAAGAATACTTTTATTTGAACTGTATTCAGTTACTGATCAAACTAGATCAAACCGGATGAAATCAGATCAAATCAAACTAGCTCAGACCAGACCAAACTAAACCACAAAATTCTAACCCCTATAAAAACACCCTAAAAGCTCAAAAGAGTTGAATAATGGAGCTATTCGCCTGCAGCTATATGTGCTCAAAGTACATTAATGGGCGGGAATAATGGAGCTGATCGTTTTGAAAAATAAGCGCAGAAAACGATAATGGGAAAAAAGCTGAAAAGTTCTCCATTCTCAGTTTCTAAGTTTCCACCCACATGCACTTTGGGTCCATTTTTCCCTTTTTAGAGCGGATTGGACTTCACCCACCAGAAACTTAAAATTCGGAATTCAAATTTTGTTCTAGTGCCTTGAGATTTCATTGTCATTCAACTGTCTTTTTTGGGTTTCTTTCGGCTTCTGAAATCTTTGTTTTCCATTCTCAAAACCCAAATGTAATTTTCTACTCTTCTTAGTAGTAGTAGTATCCTAATTGACGTTGCAGATTTGTTCTTCCGGATCTTCACTTTATTTACCTTTTTTCCTTGAACAGGTTTTGATCTGTTATCTTGAATCTTCGACTCAATTCTTGCCAGCTTGCGGTAAATTTAAATTATTCATCGTGATTGTGCTGATTCTTTATGTGTTCCCTCGATGAGTTCCGCTCATTTCTTGGTTGTAACTTATAAGCAATATCAATGTTTTCCCCACTTTTACGATTACCTTTTGAATTTGAAATATCTGGGGTTGGTATCCAGGAGAGTGGCTTTCAACTTTCAAGCGAGGCAGGAATAATTATAAGCAAAGTCTTCTATGATTCACTGCTCTAAGAGCTTTTCACCATGAGAAGCAAGTCCTCAGGGCGGACCCACAAAGTCATCTTGGGGGTCGAAAATATTTTTTGGTGTTCAAAATAATTTTTGGGAGGACGAAAATTATTTTTCATATATATATATATATATACTAAAACAAATTTTGTTGGGGGGCGGTAGCCCCCTGGGTCTCTACTACGGTCCGCCCTTGCAAGTCCTTAACTCCATTCATGGCGTAGATATATTTAGCTGAAGTTATGTTTTTGCCCTTTCTGGTTTGATGTCTGAATTATTACATCTTGCCTAGGAAACCCAAATGACTATGTAACTGCAATAGGCAACCTTTCTTAATGAACATGTTGGAATGTACTTTTTAGGCTTGACAAGTTTCATAATAATTAATCATATTGTAGTCTTGTAGGAGATATTTTGAAATATTGAGATGGAAAAGAGAAAATGGCTATGGAAAAGGAAATCTTCAGAAAAGGGCTCAGGCGAAACTGAAAGCTCAGATGAGCAGGTAAGTTGGCAAAAGGATGGTTTTTGATTTTTTTTATATTCTGCTTTTATCGTCTTCAAAGTTCAAACTAATGAAAATGACAGCAAAAACTAACATTGTGAACTAAACATGTTTGTTTTTGTTTAACTTCTTTAATTTGATTTTAGAAAGACTTGTTTATTTCTTGAAAATAAATGAACTTCAATGAATTAGTATTAACGAATGCTTGATTTTCCATTATCTACATTATGATTTGCTTTAAGAATTTAAGTAATTATTATGTACTCACCTTTGGACATTCAAATTTGTTATTTACTACTAGTAAGTGATTGAACTGGTGGACTATTGAAGAATAATACATACTACGTATATTGTACCATGTGGCTCAGTGGCTGTATTTTGTTCTTCTAAATGCATCAGGACACAACAAAGGAATCTCCAGATCATCACCACGAGCAGTCATCAAAAGTTACTTCAAATTCTGCTTCCACAGACGATGAAGTCCAGGAAAGTCTAAAATGTCTGACAGCGAAGTTATCAGCAGCCCTTGTTAATGTTAGTGCCAAAGAAGATCTTGTTAAGCAGCATGCCAAAGTTGCTGAAGAAGCTGTTGCAGGTTTTCAGAAATTGTACTCCTGTTTCACTTTTACTTGCTACACTATGTCACTATCCTGCTATAGATATTATTATTGCTTTCTCTACTTCCATTTTTGGCAAGCTGTCATTATTTTTCATCTCTAAAACACATAAAACCCCATAATTTTCATCATTTCTTTCCAACTTCTCATACTTTTTCATCTTCTTTCTCCTACTTGTACATTGTTTACCACCCGTACAGCTTTTCTCTTTGATTATGTGAAGACTCTAAAGGAGTAACTAAAAGTGAATGGGAGGTGTATATTTATGGAGTAAGGAACAAATATAGCCTTACTTTTATATTATGTACTGCGTATAATTTATGTTGGGACAAATATACCCCACATATATTTTTGGGAACAAAAATCAGAAAAAGCTGACTTATTGAGTTATCTTGGGAAAAAAAACTTCTTGTTACCCCACAATAACAAACAACAACATCCAAGTCTTAGTCCCAAAAAATTGCGTGGTCAGATAACATGAATCGATACATGATAACGGATCCCTATCTTGTTCCCATGATTATTAACTTGGTTTGGTATCTTTTGCTTTCCACTGTGCTCTACAATACTTCCTCCTGATTATGATGGAGGTGTAAAATCTTTTTCCATCCGGTCTCCTCAAATATTATCCACTCTTTATTGAGGTCTTTATCAATGATAGGCTGGGAAAAGGCAGAAAATGAGGTAGTCACTTTAAAACAGCAACTTGAGGTAGCAGAGCAACAAAATGTGCAACTTGATGGAGCTCTTAAGGAATGTGTTAGGCAGTTGAGAAATGCCAAAGATGAGCAGGAACAAAGAATTGTAGAAGCTATATTAGAGAAAAACATGGAATGGGAATCCAGCAGGGGTGCACTTGAGAAAGAGCTGGCCGAGCTCCGGTTAAAAGCAGAGGTTTCAGAACCTGTTTATCCTTTATCTGCCGATCATGATACTCTCCAGAAGCTTTCACTCCTAGAGAAAGAGAATGAAAATCTCAAACTCCAACTGCTTTCTAGAACCAAAGAGTTGGAAGTTAGAACGATCGAACGGGACTTGAGCACCCAAACAGCAGAAACAGCTAGCAAACAGCAACTTGAGAGCATAAAAAAGTTGGCCAAACTTGAAGTAGAGTATCGAATACTTCAAGCACAGTCTCGCAAGTCATCTACAGATAGCCGATCTGAAAGTGGGGAGCAACTCAAAAGAGGTGAATGCGATCCAAGTGGCTCAGACCGTTGGGTTTCGGCACTTATTTCCGAGCTTGATCAATTCAAGAACGATGAGTCTTTGTCAAAAAACACATCAGCCGTAACCGTAGAGATTGACATTATGGATGATTTTCTTGAAATGGAAAGACTTGCATCGTCACTTGCTGAGAGCAAGAAGGAAGCTGCTGACGAGTCAGCAGCAGCTAATGGAGAGGATGCTTCAGCAGCAGAGTCCCAAATTATGATTCAACGAGTGGAAAAGTTAGAGCAGAAGTTAGAGACGATTGAAGCTGAGAAAATCAAGTTGGAAGGTGCATTACATGATACGCAGGACGCCCTTAAGACATCTCAGTTTCAGCTTAAGGATGCAGAGATAAGGTTGGAAGTGCTGCGTAAGGAGCTAGATGAAGCAAATGACTCCAAAAAATCTCTAGAGTTTCAACTCTTTGGTATGGAAGTAGAGGCACAAAAGGTGTCTGCAAGCGCCGACTCTTTGAAGTTAGAATTTGGAAGTGAACCGTGCTCCTGGTGTGAAGATACGAAACAGAAGTGTCTGGAATCTGTGAATGAGAGGAAAAGAAAAAGTGATGATGTTGAACTAAACCATCCTCCAGGTTCATGTTCAAGTGACAAACCAAAAGTAAAGCAGGTTAGCAACTATAATTTCCATAAGGCCCCCCTTTGACGAATTTCAAATCTTAACATAGTATCATGGCCTTTTAAACTCCGATAAGCCATGGAATCGATATGCTCAAACTAGACAATCCCACGTTAAGCAAATGCAACCATAAACTCAGTGTACGCTTAATTAATACGGAGTAGGAGGTAAGCGTACATTATTATAACATTTGGTAAATTTGCAGGAAGATTTAGCTGTAACTGCCACAAGCAAGCTTGCTGAATGCCAGAAAACGATTGCATCCCTTGGAAGGCAGCTCCAATCACTGGCCACATTGGAAGATTTCTTGACAGACGCTAGAAACCTTCAAGCCTCAAGTTCTCGCGGGGTTGGCTTGTGGAAGACGCATTATGATGAGACATTTAACCATAAACTTGATTCAGATCCTATGGGAATTTCAGATCAGATTTCAACCCATTCCATGAATGGGAACTACGATGAATCTCCAGCATCTTCTTCATCATCTAATTCATCAACAAATCATGTCAGCAATTCCAGAGGAAGGAATGGCTTTGGTAAGTTGTTTTCTAGGAGTAAAGATAGAACCCAATCGTAGTTGTGGTTTCTTATGAGGGACGTATATTTTATTGTGGTTGGCTAAAACTATTTTGTTCTACAGTTAGGTGAGTTAGAGCATGTTCAGCAGTAATCAAAGTGTGCGCAATATTGTGCATGGGAACATAGTGCCACCAGAATAGAAAAGAAATACTAAATACAAATATTCGTCTTTCATGTTACATACAAATATCTACAGACTACAATTAGTCATTATTGTAGTTTGACATTCATTGTGAAGAAAAAGTAATCAAAAACATAAAAACTCAACTAGAACCAAGAATACAACAACAACATCCGAGCCTTAATCTCAAAAGAATTTGGGGTCGGCTAACATGAATCGATCTATGATATCGATGCCAAAAAGAGAAGACAGACAAGAAAAGGAAAAAAAGTAAGATAAAATGAATAAAATAAAGATAAATAAATATAAGATAACAATAACACAAGAATATAAGAAAGATAAAAGAAAAAAAATAAAAGAACATAAAAAAGCTAGAAGATAAAAATAACATGAGAATATAAAAAGATAAGGAAGATAAACGATAAAAGAAAAAAGAGAGGAAAGGTAGACAAGACATCAATCGTCCACACGAATGTACGCCCTCCACTTTGCTCTCTTCAAAGCCATACTCTCATCCAACCCAAGAAGACGCATATCAGTTCTGATTTCTCTAATCCAAGTCTGTTTGGGTCTTCCTCTCCCTTTCTTCTCTCACTCTTCTCCCCACCCCTCAAGAATGACGAAATAAATTTCTTATTTAGGATGTTTTTACTTGGACTGTAATTTGTTGGTCTAGTCTGGTCTGTTTAAGTCTAGTTTGGTTTGGTCTGGTCTGTTTTGAACTGGTCTAGTCTGGTCTGGTAAACGTCTGGTCTCTGTGCATTTTATAACTACGGGAGTCAAGTCTGGCCTGGTTTGATCTGCTAAAGTCTGGTTTGGTCTGGTCTATTTAAGTTTGGTCTGGTCTATTTAAGTCCGATCTGGTCTGTTTAAGGCTATGTTTGGCACAACGAGCTGGAGCTGGATGTTAATGTCTGAATTAGGGGCTATTGTCTACATGAGAAACTATTGTCTAAAGCTGAACTTTGAAATGCTGAATCTGAATTGCTAGCTGAACGGAATAGACCTGTTTGGCAAAAAGAGCTGAAAAATACTTATTCGAATGATTTTTATATTTTCAGCCTTTTAAAATATTAGTATACATGTATATATGTATTTGCCAAAAAGATAATTGTATATGTATGTGTGTGTATAATATATGTATGTATGTATGTATGTATGTATGTATGTATGTATGTATGTATGTATGTATGTATGTATGTATGTATGTGTATATATATATATATATATATATATATATAATAGAGATCATGTGAGAAAAACATCTTAGGAGAGAAATGAGAAAGAATTATAGCCTTTCGATCTTGATTTTTTTTAATATGCCGGCTCTCTCACATTAAGGGCAAATAAGAGATTGTCACATGATATTAATGCTATCCGATCATTTCCATAATTATCTCCAACAATCTCTCAAGGCCATTCAAATTATTTTATCAAATTCTTAACCACTCTATCAATTTTTTTTTCTTAACCAATCATTCACACATCCATTATTCTCTCCAAAGTGATAGTGGAAGACATCTTTTTTTATTATTTGTAAATAACAATCCTTATCATTTTAACATTTGACGTTTCAATATTTCTTCTCTTTTATTTTTGATGATTTTTTTGCTTTAGTTTTTCTATATTTATATATATATATATATCTTCTGTTTAGCGTGCTTTTGTATTCGTCATTCTATTTATTTTTATTTTTTTATTTATCTATTTTTAGGAATTTTTTGTTATATATCAAAGACATACGGTGTATGTCATGTTTAATAAGAATTCATTTAATATTTAATGAAAACGTAAAAAAATGTTTAATTAAAGGTGCACAATGACTCATACTTGGGTGCGCAACATAGTTTAGATTAATTTGATGCACTAATCATCCTTTGTCCATGCACGTTTAATTATGTTTATTTTTCCTTGTTACAAATACAAGTGACACCTAAATATATCATCATAATCAAAGTGATATAAAGTGTACTTTTTATATATTTAAAGTGCACATGATAAAAGTGCATTTCATTTTGTAAAAAGGTGCTAACATAGAATTTTATAAAGTGTGTTATTATAGTGCACTTTTGAAAGTAAAAGTACACCTTGTAGTAAAAGTGCATTTCAGTGATATAATAATGCACCGACCTTTTATGAATTTAAAGTGCACAACATCATAAAAGTGCAATTCATTTTGTAAAAAATTGCATTATTATAACGCACTTATGTATATATGCATATGACAGTTATAAGTTTGCTTTTATTTAAAAATACATAAATCGGAAGTGCACAACTTCTACAATATTGATTATTAGTCTGAAAATTTCATCTCAACATAGCATACACAAACGTAAAGAAATACTCCGTATTTAATATAGTGCCCAAGTGGATGTAATCATTGGTTAAAAAAATAACTAAAAGTGCATTACTTATGTCGGTCGACTTCTACTCGGCTTAGAAGTGTGCAGAAGGTAATATTATTTTGAAATTAGTTCGCATGATTACCGAGATTTCTTTCCATGTCTTTCCATTTACTCGCCTCCAGCAAAACGGCCACCCAATGTTGTTTTACTTTAATGCCCTTTCATCATTAATCTCATGCAGTCCTATCCGTTTTTGATCAATCACGTGAGGTGCAACATGTGTTTTTTAAAAACCCAAGCCCTCATCTAAGCCGCACAATTACATTAGTCAATGGTTGGATTTCTTTCTTTTTTCTCTCCTAAGAGAGTATTCTCACCGGAACCCTCCCCTATATATATATATATATATATATATATATATATATATATATATATATATATATATATATATATATATATATATATATATATATATATATATATATATATATATATATATATATATATATATATATATATATATATATATATATATATATAAACAACATAGTGGTTTGAATATCTAAAAATCACAACATTTGTGTATACGTTAAAAAATAAAAGCATCATATGTAATAGATAAATATGTTTTGTAAAAAAATTAAAAAAACATACCTAAAGATCTACAACTCTAAAGCTTTTATTGTTTACAAATTACAAATATAATACGGAGTATGTAGTACGTAGTATAAAAGATAATGTATATAACAGTACGCATGAGGAAATATATACTTGTTCGGTTGAGAATATCACAACCATCGGGTTAAAATAGAAATGCCATACCTAAGGAATTGGAAGGATACGGTGAAAGAATTTAGGAATTTTATCAATTCAGGACCCGAAAGATAGATTAATTATCAATTCAGGATCCGAAAGATGAAACGTATCAGTATAGGATCCAAATGATGGAAAACTATCAATTTAGGACCTAACGTTTCATAGGTTTTGATTTATTTAATTTTTTATTAATTCCATTACTAATTTTTGATAAACTTTTCTTCACAAAAGTTTATTAGTTTAATAAAATGAAATAATATTTAATTTTTTTTAATAAAAAAATTATGACAACTTAGGTCCTACATTAATAGTTTTCAATCATTCAGGTCCTAAATTGATAGTTTTTCATCATTCGAGTCCTATATCGATGCATTTTATCTTTCAGGTCCTGAATTGATAATTAATCTATCTTTTGGGTCCTGAATTGATAAAATTCCAAGAATTTATTAGCAACCGTAAATATTGGAATATTGATAGAAGGTATGTGGATAAATTAGGAATCCATTTCATCGACTGATAGGAAACGCTTCATTGTTGAACGTTTTTATTCAGCCCAAATATTTCAGTTTAAGCTTAATTCAGTCCTGTCTCCAAACAATAATTCTTTTGTTATAATTAGCTGATTTTTGAAAATTCAGCTCATTTGGGGCTGAAATTCACCGCCAAACATAGCCTAAGTCTGGTCTTGTCTGGTCTATTTAAGTCTGGTCTGATTTGGGACTGAAAACAGTCCAAGTAAAAACATCGTTAGTGGTATTATCTTCATCCCACTAACATTGAGACATGATGGTGTGATATATTTATCGAGAAAAATAGGCTTATATGGTTGATATTGAATTGATAAAATAAGAATAAACTAAGAATAATTTAAAAATCACACAAACTTTATCATATTTGGTATGTAACAATCTTAGTGGAAAGACTAAAAAGAAAAGATGGGACAATATGGGGAGTACAAAACTACAAATAAAATAGATTTCACAAAATTTAGTGTACTCATGAAAAAGAATTACTCCGTACATTAACTTTACCGCAGAATTTTCGTCAAAAAAAGTACTTAATACTTTGATATTATACTGTTTAAGAAACAACATAAAATTTTAAGCATTTATCAGCAAAAAGAATTTATCAAACCACCAGAGTGTACAAGCAGAAAGATGAAAGAATTTATACAAGTACTCAGAATGAATAAGCTTAGAAACATGTCAATTTTTAATTATATTCTTATTTCATGTTTACAACTTTGAAGATATTTTAATATAGTTTCTGATTATGTAAATTTTAATTACTAAAAATTGAATTAATTATCAATATGGAAGATTGACTTTTATTATTAGTTGATCGAAAAATGTTATCTTTGCATAACAATTTGGGACGGAGGGGGTGTGTTTTTATTTTATTTAAAAAATCGCGCATGAGAAAAATGAATGTGCTTTTTTTTGCGAGCAAAATGAATACTCCCCCCTTCTCTTATAATTTTGCCAATTTTCCTTTTTTGATTGTCCCAAAAACTTTGTCACTTTCCGTTTTAATCAATCAATTTGTGCCTCCTGTTATTTCTCTCTCATCTGCACAAATCTCTATCACACAATTTTTACTTTATTATTTTACGTGCCAGTCAAACTTGGCAATCCTTTTAGGGACGGAGGGAATATGTTTTTGTTTCAACATTAGCCTTCGTTTTTTACCCGCTTATAGCGGTTATTGTCCTTTCGAACATAGAAGGCGTTGCCTAATGAATTTCAAAGGAGCTGGAGTTAATATAGAGACCTTGGTGATGATAATTGTCTATTGCTTCCGTTGTGGGAAAGTTAAGGAAAAGTGTGCGCCCAACGTAGCTTCAAGCCTCCAAGTCTAATTTTTTAAAATTTAACCTTGTGTTCTACTATGTATTCTTATAGTAGTAGTTCATGCCTATATAAGCCAAAGCCTAAACAACACTTTGTACTGATTAGTATTTTATTTTAGGGAAAAATACCATAATAATACTAAAAGAGGGAGAAATTCCCATAATATGACTACAAATCAGGTTTGATAGGAATATGACCTGTAAACACATTAGATGAATAGGATTCACATGATAATCCCTACATTTTAGGCTTAGAAATTAATATAGGTGAGTAACCGTGAGTGCATGGGATGGTCAAAATCAAGCAACAAAATAGGAAGAAAAACTACTAGATCATACATTGAGAAAAAGATGATCTTTTATTCATTACGCATTATACCCTACGACCGGTCTACCATCCGCATGGTATACCGGTCGTAAACGGCGTCGTTTTGCTTATTAAAAAATTAGATCAGCTCTTTTCATTAATCGAACCTGCAGCTCATGATAACTGATTTCTCTCCGCTCTGCGATCCCTTCGATTCGTTTCTAAGGTTCTTAGATGGATTTTTCTGTCGACGATTCTGCTCTTTTTGCTTCTGATACACACGATAACATTAATCATTCAATTAATGATAATGATTTCGAAGTTGATCAGCTGGTTGATGTTGAATTGATTGGTAAGTATAAATTTTTCGTGCTTTATGAATTGATCAGCTGGTTTATGTTTTATGAATTTTTCATGTTTTTCGAAGTTGATCATGTTCTCTGTTTTATACCATTGCTTGAGAATTTCGATTGTATGAGTATTCATAGTTTTGATTTTATGTTCAGGAGAAGAAGATACTATTTCAAAAGCTTCTAAATTGTTATATCTTCTTAGCAGAGGTATTTATTCTGTCATGTAACTTCATTTCATTTTGGTTGTAATTCCGTTCGATGGTATTTAACTCGCGTCTCAAATGTGTGTAACTTGTGTTCTCTGATATGTAACTGTTGTTTAATTTAATGTAACATTGTGACAGTATGTAGTTGTTGATTGTTTTTCATATATATGCTTTATAAATTGGTAGATTCATTGGAAAATGTTCACCAGTCAACTGAGAGTAAATCACTTGTTGGGCTTAGTGTCAATTGTGAACAAGATGCTTACAAACTTTACAATGATCATGCTTTTGAAAATGGATTTGGTATTCGTAGATGCAGACAGAGGTTTAGGAGTGGGAATGTAAGTTTGACTATGAAGTCTTATTGTTGTTGGAAAGAAGAGAAGAAACTACAAAAGGGCACCGAAAACAAAATGTATACCAAGTTAGATTATCGTACTGGTTGTAAAGCGATGTTACAGTTTTCTATTAGTTGTGATGGTGAATGGACTGTCTCAAAGCATATTATTGATCACAACCATGCTTTCTGTGCAATTGGTCAAAGACACCTACTGAAATCACATAGAGGCGTTGATCGTGAGTATCTTGAATTTATTATGTTGATGAAGGAGAGTGGAACAAAGGTTTCAGATGTTCACATGATGCTTCAAAAACAGGCTGGTGGTGTTAGTGCTCTTGGATTCACGAAACGTGATGCTTATAACGTTCTAGAATCTGAAAGAAGTAAAACGTTTGATGGTACTGATTCGAACACTTTGATTGGTATATTTAAGAAAAGGGCTGAAGTGGAATGTGATTTTTTCTTTGATTTTGAGTTGGTTGATGGTATACTGACTTGTTTTTTCTGGAGAGATGGTCAAATGAGATCTGATTATGAGAGGTTTGGAGATCTTGTTGTGCATGATACAACTTACAGGACTAACAAGTATGATATGATCTGTGGTCCATTTATTGGTATGAATCACCACTGTAAAAATATAATGTTTGGTTGTGGCTTTATTCTAAATGAAAGGGTGGAGTCTTTTGTTTGGTTATTTCAGACTTTTCTGAAATCTATGGGTGGTAAACACCCTATCAGTTTCATGACAGACCAGTCATTTTCCATGGCAACGGCTATCAAATCTGTATTTCCTGGGGCGAGACATAGACTCTGCACTTGGCATATAGATGAGAATTCAAAGAAACACATCATGCATCTACGCAAGAAGATAAATTTTGTTTCTCTTTTTGATTATGTTGTCAAACGATGTGATACTGTTGCAGAGTTTGATTTCTATTGGAATGAGTAAGTTATTGTTATCTGATGTAACTTCGTGATTATTTTATGTAACTTTTTCAATCATTTGGTGTAACATATATATCTTCATATGTAATCTTGTCTTCTTTTCAAATCTGTTTCAGATTGAATACAGTTTATGAATGCAGTGACAACACATGGTTGAAGAGGCTGTACAGTCATAAAGAAAAGTGGTGTCCTGCTTTTTCGAAGGATTACATCTCTGGTGGTGTTTTATCCTCTCAAAGAAGTGAATCTACAAATAGATCTATATCTAGAAGACTTACCAAGACTGCAACATTATGTGATTTTTACAAAATGTTTTGTGATGTTGTTGATGAATGGAGGTTAGATGAGAATGGTCGTGATTTTAGATGTTCTTAAGGCACCGTTGAGATGGTATTGCTACAAGACACTTTGTTGACTCATGCGAGAGATGTGTATACCCTTGAGATTTTCAAAGTGTTCCAAGAACAATATTTGAAGGGTATGTCACATTTTTTTAAATTAATCTCACAGAATTGTCATGACTATGTGTATCATGTTTGGTTGAATGGGGTAGATATGATTAGACACAGTGTTACTTTTAATCGGCATGAAAACACAGTGACATGCACTTGTAAGATGTTTTCTGAAGTTGGCATTTTTTGTAGACACATTTTGCGTATATATAACGTGCATTGTGTCAAATGTATTCCCCAAGTTTATATACTCTCTAGATGGACAAAGGCTGCCATTCTGCCAAATGTTAATCTTTCTGTTACGCACGGAACCGATATTATGTCTGGCAAAATATTGGAAGATTCTGTTTGGAGAGTGCAAATGACTAGGAAATTCAACTCAGTATTGAGTGCAAGTGCTGGTTTTCCTGAAGCTAGACGAGTATGTGATCAAGGATACGAGTCTATTAAACATTTTTTAGATGCACAAAGAGATGCTTCTGTTGTGGATGAATCTGCTTCTAGGACAATATTGGATCCTCCACGGTCTCGTTCTAAAGGTCAGCGAAATACCCGAAAGAGAAGTATTGTTGAGAAACAGTGCAAAATAGTCAAAGCTCGCCGTTCAAAATCCCAAAATGTTGCCTCCAATTCAAAAGCAGTTGCTCAATCTGTTGTACAGGTATTTGTTTATTTTTTTATGTATTTTATGCATATTTTCTTATCATTAATTTTTGTTTTGTTTGATTGTAGGACACTGTTAATTTCATGGTTCCACAAGGTTATGTACTTGCTCATCCAATTGGAGGAATGACGTCTTTAATGCATGTGTCTGGATCTCCACAAGTTTTTGCTCCATACTTCATGCAATCCAATGCTTTGAACCAAATGCAGAATTAGTTATAGTCACACATGTTTGGAAAACCAAATGCTTTGAGGAGTTTACATATCATATTGTGAACTTTTACTTTTGTTGCACCTTGAGTTACATTTGATTTTATAGAATTTATATTGTCTTTACAGTTTGTTTACATGTCATACAGCATTGCCATAAATACAATACGCAATCAAGTTTGTTTACATTTATTTATATTACAGAATGTAATCTGTGCAGTCACAGCTCAGTAACAGTAGTTACATTGTTTTTCCCTTCAGTTACATAGTTCTTTAACGTGACTTACATTTGTTGTACTCGTTGTTTACATCAGATGTGTATTACTTGATTAGCTAATGCAAGTGTACATAAGTTATATAAAGTGAGAAGAACGCTTTAGGTGAGAAGTGAGAATGAATCTCAGCCGTTGGATTCGACATAAAACATATAAAACAAACTAGTTTACATCAACTTATCATAATCCAACATATAAGTTTTCCACATACTAAACATATAACTTTTGAGGTGCATTACAAGCTACTGCATAAAACCAAGAAATGTCTAAAACCCATACCACTGCATTACAAGCTACTGCATACAAACAGATAACTACAGCATAACGCATACCACCACACCCTCCATAAAACCATGAAATGTTTTGACTGTAACCCCATCATATTAATTAATTACATCTTCAAGTAGTCTTTTGCTTTTTTCAATATGTTTTCCCTTTCTTTGTTAAATTTTGACAGTAAAACTTGAGCTGCATACATCACTCTCATCTTTTGGATTGTTTCATTTTGAGCTTTTATTCCATCATTTGTGGCAGCAGTTGCAAATCCAGAATCCCATACATGTCCTTGCCCACGAAACGTCTCCAAGTGACGCAAAGTATATACTCCACAGTCAACGTGATTGCTATTATGTCTCCATGGCATGTATAAGATTCTGGGGACCCAACTTGTTGTGCTTGAAATCTGCACTTTCTCACCGAAGGCTTTGAATCCTTCATGCTATACAAGAAGTAACATTAATGAATTAAAATAATATGGAATAATATGATTTCTTATTTCCAAAAACATTGTATTGAATTTTTACCATTTTTTTCAAAGTTTTGCCATATTTGTCCTCAACGCTCACCCCATCTGGAAGCATCCGGTTGTCAATTACATCAACAATGTTGTTTGTTGTGTAAAAGCAGTAGATATAATAGTGCTCATGATTGTGAATGGGAAACAGTATCTGCATTATTATAAATTTATCTTCAGTTACATAAAATAATACAGAATCTACATAATTCATATCAGAACTTACATCACTCAGCTCTGTAGTTACATACTACGGTATTATTTTTCACCCTTTGTTTTAAAAACATTTTTAACAATATATCTTATACACCGACTTACATAAAACAATAGAGTTTACATAATTCATATAAGAACTTACATTAGTCAAACGCTGCAGTTACATATTATGCTAAACATTTTCTATTACTAATATTGTTTCACACTGATTTACATTTAAGAATATATATATAAGGATTACCAAATTTGACTTGTGTTTTTACACTTGAATTATGTAAAATTAAATATTAATGACATTTTACCATATCTAATTTTGTGACATCTGCTGCAGCATCATTTATTTCTTTTTGCAATCTATCAACCATATTTTCTATTGGGTCACCAGATGCAAAATCAAACATTGCCTGCACATTCAAATTGAGTCACTCTTAGGAAAATATAGAAACTGAAGTTCTCTACTTTATTTTACAATTTTACAAGAAAAAAATATACATACATATACTTGGGTTGACGCAATGAAGGCACGCTTTGTAGACTTATTTGATTCTTCTCTGTCATTCAGAATCTTAGTGAATGCATCAATTATTGAGTTGTCTACATTTCCTTCTTGAAGTGTCTGAATTTCTTCATGAGTTATAAACACACCTTCCTCATCTATATAGACACAATCTCTAACAGAATAATATTTTTCAAACAAATTGAAACAATTAATTATCAAATGGTGTTTATATTGAAATAATACATTATATAATATTAGTTTTTCTTACTTTTCAACTTCTTTTGAGAATCCCCAATCAAGAACAATCTTTTCATCTCTGCTAAATTCCTTGCATAGCCTTCTATTATTCTTCAGAAAAGGTGATCTGTAATTGACAATTGAATCACCTAACTTTCGAAGCTTTCTCTTTCTGGTATATGGCTTTAGACCAACACTCCTTTGTAAAAAATAATATAATGTTAAGTTTATTTTATTAGTTAAAAGTATTGATGAATTACATAAGAAAAAAATAAAACTTACTCTGACTTATTATCAATTTCCTTATTTACTTCTCCATCATCTCCAGTCACTTCTTCCTCAACAGCCATTTGAGCCACTTCAGCCACTTCAACATTACCATTCACTTCTCCATCAACAGAAACAGTTTCAGTCATTCCAGCAATGGTGTCAATCATCACATCTTCCACTCCATCAACAGTTTCAGTCATCACATCTTGTACATCAGGAGCAGTTTCAGTCTTCGCAGCTTCTACATCCACTTTTGATGTGCCTTCACCCTGTGACATGTTAAACTCAATTCCTATGTCAAATGAAGGCATTGAAAATTTCAGGAATGCTGCTTTCTCTAGTTTTTCAAGGGCTTCCATAACTCCAGGCTCATTAAAGAAGTCATCATCTTCCTCAAGGACACACTTCTCTGATAATCGTTGAGTTCCTTTTGCTTGATTTCCATTTGCTTGATTGATGAAGTAATCAGCTGTGGTCAAGTATATCTTCTTCAAGATATCAGAATTTGGGAACTTTTTTGCAATGGTTGACGGCAACTTTGAGAATTCCACAAAAGCATCACTAAACTTTTGTGCCACAGCTATAATCTCCTTCACACAATCCTATAAAAATTATAATAATAGTTGTTTAATAATACATAAGATACATAGTTATTAAATTAAGATTACAGGCTCCTTGGAAAAATCCTATAGTTATGTAACAATTGATTTAAGTTACATAAAATAGTCTTTAAGATCACAAAGTGTTGTATTAAAATTTACCTCCTTTGACAACATTTCAGCATCTTCATTTTCTTCATCTTCTTTTCCTGCTTCCTCTTCATCTTTGTCTTCCTCTTCGACTGTTATTATTCGCTTTGTCACCTTTCCCAGACCAAAGCCCACCTTTCTCTCATCTTTGACTCTTTTGTCAATTCTCTCCTTGTCCCAGATTCTAATGGTTGGATAAGCACTCTGCATAATTTGGCCTTTGAATTGTACTCGGTCAAAGTAACATATCATTAGAAACAGTAATGGTCCACTGAACATCTTTGATTGATTAGTTTGCCATTCCTCGCCTGCATCCATCAACGATCTTATTGTGTAGTTGCACCAATTCATGTTTGGTATATCAGCTACATTAACCAAAGACATCAATATTTTAAAATTGCTGTTAACACTCTGGTTTCCTCTGATCAGGCAAGAGACTGTAAAGACCACAAAGTTTCTGATGAATCTGTCTCCAGAGTCAGTATCTGCAACTATTTTTTCAATCATTTTTTATGTTTGAGGGCTTCCTTTATCAATCCCCCATTCTTCTCTCCATTCTTGTAGCAGTTGGGTATACTCTTCAGTTTCATTCTTCGCATTCGCTTCTTGAACTTCTATCTTTCCCTTTGGCAGACCAAATACAGCTTTGACATCTTCATCTTCAATATCTAGCAGCTCACCATTGGCAAGTTGTAGCTGTCCTGAAATTGGTCTAAAGTTCTTCAACAAAAACGCAACCAAATCTCCACAGAATCTGTCAAAGTTTAAATGCAGTAATCCCCCAAATCCAATCCTTTCAACTGCTGATTTTTTTCTTTCATCTAATTGGTTAATCAACTTTATGAAAGGGGCTGGTCCTACTCTTGTTCTTAGATTTACAGAAGGCGGCCTGTTGCTTGTCTCCACTTCTTCATATTCATCGTCTGATTCTTCAGATTCTGCTTTCTTCTTTTTTGGGGCTGCTTTTCTTTTTTTGCTTGTTGTTGGCTGATGATATTCTAGCCTTAGAATCGGTTCTTCTGTGTTCAGTATCCTTGCAGTTTCATTGTGATGTTCTGTATGCTGAGTTTCATTTTCAGGAGCTACAACACTTCTTGTTCTCCTTATATTGCACATGAGTTACATTTTTGTCACACACAATTGCCATAATAGTGAAATGAAGTTACATCATTCACAATCAGATGAACAATGTCATGTGGAGCACATGAGTTACATATTTTTACACACAATTTACATAACAGTGAAAAGAAGTTACATCATTCACAATCAGATGAACAATGTCATGTGGAGCACATGAGTTACATCTTTTTACACACAATTTACATAAAAGTGAAAAGAAGTTACATCATTCACAATCAGATGAACAATGTCATGTGGAGCACATGAGTTACATCTTTTTACACACAATTTACATAAAATTGAAAAGAAGTTACATCATTCACAATCAGATGAACAATGTCATGTGGAGCACATGAGTTACATCTTGTCACACACAATTTACATAACAGTGAGAAGAAGTTACATCATTCACAATCAGATGAACAATGTCATGTGGAGCACATGAGTTACATCTTGTCACACACAATTTACATAACATTGAAAAGAAGTTACATCATTCACAATCAGATGAACAATGTCATGTGGAGCACATGAGTTACATCTTGTCACACACAATTTACATAACAGTGAAAAGAAGTTACATCATTCACAATCAGATGAACAATGTCATGTGGAGCACATGAGTTACATCTTTTTACACAATGGAGGCGGTGGTGCTAGGATTTGTGACTACGGCGGCACCAGTTTGGTGACGATGACGATGGAGGGCCTCTACAAGGAGGCGGTGGCACTTGTATTGCAGCTAAGGTTTTAAAAAAGTTTTAAATTTTAATTTAATTATAGATATATACTCCCTCTGTTCTTTATTACTTGTCCCCAACCTTAGGGTTTGTCACGAGTTTTAAGAGAAAAATAGTAGGGTAGTATATAAGGTGTAGGGTAAATGAGAAAGTATGATAGAGAATATATTAAAAAAGGTAAAGTAATGACAAAGTAGAAAAGAAAAAGTAGTATATAAAAAGTAAAAGGGACAATGATTATAAAAGTGGGGATATTTAGGTATACTTATTGAAAAACATTTCCAAAAATGGAAAGAAGGACAACTAATAAAAAACGTGTCAAAATGGAATAAGAGACAATTATTGGTGGGAGTAATATATTTAGAATTTCACTAAAAGTAACTTTGTCAAGTCAATGCATTTTTAGTCCTGTGAATTGAAACATGAAATATCTATTTGTTCACTTGTTCATTGTTTTATTCCTATTTAGGGAATTAACCCTTTCCAAAGTTGACACTATATAGTTGTATATGACCTTTTTATGAAAATTGCTAAAATAAAGACAATAATATGATTCGATTTATAATATTCTACAAAAAGGCTAATCATACCATTTATGTCCTTTACTTAAATTACATTATTTATTGTAATATTATATTTTTAACATGGGAGATTTCCCAAAATAGGAATAAATATGTTTTGGAATTCCAAAATAGGACTCATATATTTTTCTTATCAAAACAGGCGTAACATGACATTATTTATTTCAATGTTCTAGTCATTACTGTCAAATAGTTGCATTACAAGGCATTAATCATGACAATATTTTTGAGTCGTGGCAGTAACGACTCATATTTTGGAAAGAAAAACATAATAGTCATATTTTGGAATTCCAAATCCTATTTGGGGCGATTCCCCTTTTAACAATTAATAATTAATCAGTGTCGTGTAGCTAGTGTCACAGACTTATTCTCAAACCCGTGTGGCACTAGCAACACTCACTCAAGCTTATGCTAGTCAACCTAACTTTTGCGGAAACTAGGACACCGATTGTGGAGAAACTCGTACAAAGGCTTTATTGCTCTCAAAGTTTTGTGTGTACAAATGAGCCAGCCATGAGGGGTATTTATACTTGTCCTCCTCCTCAGTGGATGGTCTAGATATACTTGATCTAACGGCTACGATTTAATTCTAGAGTATTCTATACAACTCTACCATATTCTAAAGTACCCTACTCCACTCTATACAAGTACACATGTCTCCACATGAGTCTAGAGTATTCTCTAAGCCTCTGGAATTCTGCCCCTTTCTCTTGGGAAGCTCTAGACTCCAGGCCAACTTGGCACCTGGACACGACTATGTCGTGGCGTACTGGTCTGTCATGCCGCGACATTGAATGCCTGCCATGCTGCGGCATTCTGCGATTTTTGGGAGACTCGTGACATTCTCCCCCACTTAATCTCATGACGTCCTCGTCGTGGTCTCCTTGTAAGCCTCTATCAAATCTTTATAGTTCCACAAGGTTAACTCGTGTTCCCAACTCGCCTCGCTATCCGGAGCATCCTTCCACTTGATGAAGTACTCCACGTAGCTCGGGTGTGCGCCTCTCCTCCGAATGACTCTATGAGCCATTATCTCTTCGACCTCGCGCTCGAGAACCATCATAATTGTGGTTGGTGCTCTTCTTGAAACGCCCCTACTCGGATCCTCCTTGTCTTCTTTGTAAGGCTTGAGTAGGCTCACGTGAAACACCAGATAAATCTCTAAGTGTGACGGTAAAGTTAAACGATAAGCTAACTTACCAACCTACTTCTCGATGGGAAATAGACCCTCATATCTCTGCACCAACCCCTTGTGCAGCTTAGCGAACGTATGCTTCTAATGAGAAAGGAGCTTTACTGGCACCAAGTCTCCTTCCTCGAATTCTATGTTTCTCCTCTTAGCATCGGCCCACTTCTTCATCTTCTTCGAAGCCTTTGCTAAGTATGCCCTAGCCATATGGGTCTTCTCATGCCACCCTTTTGCAAACTTAAACGCGGATGGACTTGGTTCTCTATACCTCACGTCCAAAGAGTGTGGAGTAGCCGGCGGCTACCCCATGGCAATCTCGAACAGACTTGCCCCCGTCGACCCACTCCTTTGCAAAATAGTAAGAGAATTGGGATATGTCGAGCAACTTCGCCCAATCTCGCTGGTTCACACTCACATAATGCCTCAAGTACAACTCCAACAAGGCATTAACTCTCTCGGTTTGGTCGTCGGTTTCGGGGTGAAAGCTAGTAGAGAAGTTAAGCTCGAACCCCATAATCTTGAACAACTCCATCCAAAACTTCCTGGTAAAACGGGTATCTCGATCGCTTAAGATGGTCTTCGGTATGCTCCAATACTTCACAACATGCTTGAAGAATAGGCGTGATGCGTCTTCAGTAGAGAACTTCGTAGGGACAAGGATAAAAACTCCGTACTTATTGAACCGATCCACCGTGACCATAATACTCCCACACTCTTCGTACTTAGGAAAACACGTGATAAAGTCAATAGATATACTCTCCCACGACTTCTCTGGTGTGGGTAACGGCTCCAGCAACCCCGCTGGTTGTTGTTGATCCACCTTGTCTTGTTGGCACACAAGACAAGTATTCACGTACAACTCCACTTCTTCCTTCATTTGGGACCAATAGTACACACACTCTATGAGTTCCACCATGCGTCTAATTTCGGGATGCTTGGCCCATCTCGAATTGTGGTATTCCTTGATAATCTCCTTCCTCAACCCTTGCCACTTCGGCACAAACTCGATCTCCCTTGGTTATGAGCAACCCCTCTCTAAGCCAAAACTGGCGCGTCTTCCCTCGACTTGCCAACTCCATCAAACTATTGGCCTTCGGGTTGTGCTCTAGTCCCTCCTTGACTCTATCCACCGAAAGGAAACTCAGGCTTGTGATGGCGGCTAGCTCGGCTTTCCTACTCAACGCATTCGTTACGCTGTTTGTCTTCCCCGGCTTATACTCCATCACAAAGTCAAACTCCGCAAGGAAGTCTTGTCACCTCGCTTGTTTTGGCATCAACTTCTTCTGGTTGAGGAAATAGCTTGTTGCCATGTTATCCGTCTTCACCACGAACTTGGACTCCAACAAATAATGCCTCCATGTTCGCAAGCAATGCATCAGAAATGTTATCTCCTTTTCTTGAACCGTATAGCGGCACTCGGTGTCGTTCAACTTTCAACTCTCGTAGGCAATTGGATGCCCTTCTTGCATCAAGACACCTCCTAGGGTAAAGTCTGAAGCATCGGTTTGGACTTCATATGGCTTGGTGTGATTAGGGAGTGCTAGGATAGGCTCCTTGGTCACAATCATCTTTAGCTCCTCAAATACGTGTTGGCACCTCTCGTCCCAACTCCACGCTACCTTCTTCTTCAATAGATTTGATTTTGTTACCCCGGAAGGCAAACCATCAAAATCAGTGGGGTAAATGCCGAGGGTCATTTACCATGTTTTATTAATGTAAAGGGAATACAAAAGAGGGGGGATTAGACCAAAACCCCTCAATAGGAGGGATACCTCCTAAAAAATAACATGAAAGCAAAAACCGACCTAAAGAAAAAAAGCTTAAGATAGGTATCTAAAGGAGGGAATGGCAAACAAACCAGAATAAAAATCCTTTCTGGGCTGATCCAGAAGATCAGAAGCCCTATAAAAAACCTCAAATTGGGTCGGGCTTAGATCAGCCAAATAGTGGGCAACACGGTTGCCTTCTCTCAAAACGTGGCCGAAACAGACTCCCATCCTATTCGCACGAAGTATGGTTTCCTGAATCGAAACCCCCCATCTTCCAACACCATCTGAGATATACCTCAACGCAACAACTGCATCAATTTTGACCTGAAAGTTAGAATATCCGACATCCAGTGCCCAGTTCGTAGCATAAAGAACTGAGGCGAGTTCAGCCTCAAGTGGCG